CATCCTATTTCAGATTTTATAGACAGTCTTTCATTATCACTGATTCAGAATTCTGGAACTCCCTGCCCAACAGAACATGGCCATGCTTACACAACATAGACTGCAGATGAAACCCATCACCTTCTTTGCAAAGGCAACAAGAAATGAACAATAAATGCTGGCCTTGCTAATGACACCCTAATCCGAGGAACAATTTATGAAAAAAATTAAGCAAAGGGCAGAGATTGCCTGCAGACTTTACTGGCATCTGGTTAGACACCCTTCCAGCTTACTGCCTCTACATTACTGTTTCCCTCAAATAAAGAACTTGGCTTTACGCTGAATGTTTCATACAGACTGCAGTGTTGTACATACACCACATTTTGTAATTCAGTGTAAAATAGAATGTGTTCTGTGCAGTCAGACATCTTGCAATATGTGGAGTCAGCCAGATCAAGTAGCTGAATTTACAAACTTCCACTGTGTCAACGGAACTGCCGTGAATAGTGAAAAATCACACCCCTATACAAGGCCATGAGATTGCAGAGTATGTTACAGTACAATTCAGCTATTGCTGATGGCCCACAACACCTCATGGATGCCCAGTCCTGAACTACTAAATCTGTCTGAAGTCTATTTCATTTATCATGCTGATAATACCATACAACATGACAGGTATTCTTAATGTGAAATTTATCAAGGTTTCTCAGACAGCACCTTCCAAACCCATGACCACTTCCATCCAGAAGGACAAGGACAGCAGATACATGGAAACGCTGCCAACTGCAAGTTCACCTCCAAGTAACTCATTATCCTGACTTGGGAATATATCATCATTCCTTCGCTGTCGCTGGGTCAGAATCCTGGTATTCCCTCCCTAAGGATGTTGTGGGTCAACCCACAACATGTGGACAGCAGCGGTTCAAGAAGGCGGGTCACCACCACCTTCTCAAGGGCAACTAGGGACAGGCAATGAACGCCGGTTATTATGTGATGAGTGGTTACGAGAGCTTGATGTGCACATATTGGGTGCTGGGTTTCCTACATTACAACAATGGGAAGCTATCAGAAGTAACCTGACCATTTATGTGACAGAATAGAAGTCTGTTAGGACAACAGACTTGAAAACTGTTTTTCCTCACTGTTTTCACATAAAGTTCAGAAACTGGGTTATAGGATCACTCCTGCAAGCTGCAGTGACAGCTCCATTCATTTCATGCTCACTCCCAAATGTCATTTGATTTTACTCTGATTCCTGTATCTGTAATTTTATAAATTTCAGCCATTCCAGCAATTTAGTAAGTGACTTAATAAGTATATTTTATTCATGCACAAGTTAACCAATTAAGGCAATTAAGAGGTTCTTTGGATAGTAAATTTCAGAAAGTTTATGGGTATGTGAATAGGAAAGGTTAAGAGGGATATGCGTCAAATGCTGGCAAATGGGACTAGATTAATTTAGGAAATCTGGTTGGCACGGACGAGTTGGACCAATGGGTCTGTTTCCATGCAGGACATCTCTATGCACTGAGCAACTCAGAAAAATAATTTTTACAATTTCATCAATTGGTTGAACCATAACAATCTCAAGACTATGTGCTGCACACAACCCCACTTTTGCAGACAGGTTCAGAGATATTCTTATACACCTCTAGAACAGATGGGACTTGACCCTGGGTCTCCTGATTCAAAGGTAGGGACACTACCACTGCACCGTAACAGCCATTAAAACTGAGATTTCCAGTCATTAACAGTTATGGGGAAAAGACAGGAAAGTGGAGTTGAGACTTATCAGATCAGCCACAACCTCATTGAATGGTGGAGCAGACTCAATGGGCCGAACGGCCTACTTCTGCCCCTATGTCATATAGTCTGATGGTCTTGGGATTCCTGCCTCGAGAGTTTTTAGCACTCCAGCAAAAAAACATTATGGAGCCCTGTGTCAGAATCAAGCTTTTATCTCATTTCATAATTGGTTCCAGTCATTGCTCAGTTCAATTGATTTATGTTTGGTCAGACTGACCATCTGGTCACAGTATCGCTGTTGAGAGTATACTGGAGCTAAATCACACTGTCTTGAATGTTACTTTAAACTGTTCCTCTCTTTTGACCAAATTTGTTGACTGTTTGTGCATTCCGACTGAAATTTAAACCAGGCTAAACATTTTAACACCACAAATTCCTGCTGCAATTTACAATGTTGGATAATTTCCTCAGCCAGTCATGCCTAACAACCACAATTGCACTAAATGAATGGTATTAATTTTCCTCATATAATTCATCTTCTGTGACTATCCCACACCCAAGGTTTGCTGGATAAATGATCCTACCAGACTTGGAATACTCAGATTCACTGCAGTTCCTGTTCTGAGATTCCTGCAAATTAAAACTGCAAGTCCCACCCCGTATCCAGTTCACTGGTTGAATACATAGGTGTCAATATTCAATACATTGAAAGCAAAAATAGCAAAGACAAGAAGTCTGGAAGAAACAGGGGAATTTTAACCCCAAGGCAACAGATTACAGCAACCAGCCTATTCGAACCTCAGGGCCTTATTACCATTCTGACAGGTCACTTGACCCTACAACAACAGCAGCCAGAAGCAGCTTACTGACTTGGAATTGGGCCTAACCTGTCCTTCCTCCCACCTATCCCCTCCTCCCACCCTAAGCCCCACCCCCATCTCCTACCTACCTAGTGTTCTGTCAGATGCTGGGAGGAAGTAGCACAGCCTGAATGTCATTTGTGGAATCCAAGTACTCGAGAGGTGAAAGGAGGTGCAATTAACCCAGACAACAGTGGTCAAACAATCTGTCCCTGTGCCGTACCTTCAAGGTAATTGCTGTTCCTCCTAACTTAACCAAAGAAAAATTGACTAAACTGGACCATGAAGAGTGCATGAGAGTATACCAGGAACAACACATGAAAATGGGGTTTCAACCGAGTGAAGCTGCAACAAGTCTGCATACATGTTAAGCATTGGGTGGCACAGTGGCTCAGTGGTTAGGACTGCTGCCTCACGGTGCCAGGGATTTGGATTTGATTCCAGCCTCGGACAACTGTCTGTGTGGAGTTTGCACGTTCTCCCCGTGTCTGCGTGGGTTTCCTTCGGGTGATCCAGTTTCCTCCCACAGTCCAAAGATGTGCAGGGTAGGTGGATTGGCCATGCTAAATTATCCGTAGTGTTCAGGTATGTGCAGGCTAGGTGGGTTAACTACAAGAATTGCGAGTTTACAGGAACAAAAACAAAGTTGTTGGAAAAGCTCAGCAGGTCTGGCAGCATCTGTGAAGGAGAAAACAGAGTTAACGTTTCGGGTCCGGTGACCCTTCCTCAGAACTGATGGTGGCTGGGAAAATGTCAGTTTATATGCAGAAAATAGGGAGGTGGGTGGGGTAGGGAGTAAACGATAGGATAGAGCTCAAAGAGAGAGAAAGACAGTTGGACAGACAAAGGAGTTGCTAACGATCAGGCTGGGAGGGTGAATAGTTGTTAATGGGGACTGTTAGTGACTAACAACAGGGGGTGTGTAATGGCAGGCTATGTGGTAACAAGGCCTGGTGTGTGGGGTGGGGGGCTGGGACATGGGACATAGGCCCTAAAATTATTGAACTCAATATTGAGTCCAGAGGGCTGTAGGGTCCCCAAGCGGAAAATGAGGTGTTGTTCCTCCAGCTTGCGTTGGGCTTCACTGGAACACTGTAGCAAGCCAGAGGCAGAGATGGGAGTTTACAGGGACAGGTTGGGGGCATAGGACTGGGTGGAATACTCTTTGGAGGGTTGGTGTGGACTTGATGGGCCAAATGGCCTGCTTCCACACTCTGGGGATTCTGTGATTCCTCATGGTTGCGAACTGGGTCTCACCATGTTCAGTCACTTAAACAGTGCTGGATCAAATTACTGCAGATGCTGGAATCTGCACTGGAAACAAAAAATGCTGGAAATCACAATGGGTCAGGCAGCATTCACGGAGAGAGAACAAGCTAATGTTTTGAGTCTAGATCTTCATCAGAGCTGTCAGCTCTCTCTCCACAGATACTGCATGACCTGCTGTGATTTCCAGCATTTTTTTTATTTCCACTTCAACAATGACCTTCCCTCCATCATTAGGTTAGAAGTGGGGATGGTTGCTGATGACTGCACAGTATGCAGTACAATTTGTGACTCCTCAAAGACTGAAGCAGTTCATAACCAAATGCAGTAAGATCAAGACTATATTCAGACTTGGGCTGCCTAGTGGCAAATAATGGAAGTACCTCTAAAGTGACAGGGAATCTCCAAGAAGAAACATTCCAAGCACCTCACCTTGACAAGAGAATTAGAATCACTGAGAGCACCACCATCCATACCCTGGGGGTTACCATCGACCAGAAACTGAACCAGCCACATAAATATATTATAATATATATACATACACTGTGACTACTATTAAAAAAAGACAAAGGTGTGTTGTCCCAGAGGGTTGCTCTCTCATTATAGAGCTATGACTGGTGGTCACCACACCTCAGGCAAGGGGAGAAGTTGAGAAGGAGAATCCTTCATGGTAACTTCAGCCAGTATTGGAATTTAACCCACTCTATTTGGAAACCAGCAGTCCAGCCAACTGAGATTACCAACCTATACTGTGACGGCCAGAGTAGGCCAGGGGCTAGGAATCCTACCATGTGTAGCTCACCTCCTGACTCCCCAAAGCCTGTCCACCATGTATAAGGAACAGGTCAGGAGTGTGATGGAATACTTCCCACTTGCCTGGAAGGGTGCAGCTCCAACAACACTCAAGAACCTCCAAACCACTTTTTGAGGTCAAAGCAGCCACCCCAGCTCCCCAAAAACCGTCATGTGAGTGTCCCTACATCACATGGACTCCAACAGCTCCGGGAGGTAGCTCACCTTTCAGTTAGGCATGGGAAAACAACTGCTGTTCTTTGGGTTCCAAACCGCATGAAAGATTTTTTTTTGTAGACAAGAAGTTAGATATTTCAAGGCCGCAGGTGGTTTTAGTGGGACCACTTCCAGTAATGATCGAGTCAGTTGGCTTCCTGAATTCGTTTCTCTTAACAAGTGATTCGAGTCTTTGGTCGGGTTTATCTGACTGTGAGTGATTCGGTTGCTGCACAGTAGAAATGAAACCAGACTCTGTCCTGCAAAGACAGGGAGGTGGGACTGCGCATTGACCCCGAGTGCAGGGAGAGAGAGGTAGAAGTGTGTTTTGGTTTTGAAGGGCTGATTAGTGACCTTCCCTGACGCATTACATGTGATATAAACACCGAGGGGAGATCAGGAGAGGACACACCGTGCGTTGCACCCAGACAGAGAGGAAGAAGTTGGTGAAGTTTGCACAGGGACTGTTTGTTTCCAGGGTATAGGACAGGCTGTGAACGAGCAGCCTGAGGGCTCGGTGCTGGGACTTCGGATGGATCTGACTGGGAAAGTGGCGCTAGTGACTGGAGCAGCTCAGGGAATTGGCAGATCGTTCACCGAGGCGCTGCTCAGACACGGAGCGAAGGTACAACTCTGCCCCTCTCCGAGCCAGCACGGCTGCTCACCCTTCCTGGCTTGCCAGGTTCAAACTGATTGTTTTTACTCTCTCGTTCCCCACTCCCCGCTGTGTCTCCTCTGAACACCTTTCCACTCACCCACACCCGCCCCCGCGACTCTTCTCCCCCC